ACTCACACACACACACACACACACTGTCACACACACACACTCACCACCAATATTTCTCCAGAGGTTAATCTTGCAGTCAGCCCCGCCCGTTGCAAACAGGCTTCCCGTGTTGTTCCACAGGACCATGTGCACACACACACACACACACACACTCACCACCAATATTTCTCCAGAGGTTAATCTTGCAGTCAGCCCCGCCCGTTGCAAACAGGCTTCCCGTGTTGTTCCACAGGACCATGTGCACACACACACACACACACACACTCACCACCAATATTTCTCCAGAGGTTAATCTTGCGGTCGGCCCCGCCCGTTGCAAACAGACTTCCCGTGTTGTTCCACTGGACCGAGTACACCTCTCCGCTGTGGGCATCCTGAAGGAGGGGGGGGGGGGTTTGTTGAGGTAGGGTGGCAAAGATCAAAGGAATTGAGGTCATAACTCATCAGACGGGAAGTGTGTTCTTCTGTGGTCATAGATTCTCTTCTAATGTATAAGACAGGCACCAGGTCCCACAATGATGATTTTGTGTGCAATAGAGACCTCATCCTTTCACCAACAATCTATACACTTTTTGTTTTGTTTTTGGGGGGGTCCATTAACCCTTCCAGCCCTGAGCGCGTATATTTTCAGCAGCATTTGTACCTCTCACTGTCCCAAGAGCGTATATTCTCAGTTTCGAAGGGGGGTGAGGGTATCAGTTTGCGCATTTTTCGAAATAAACCTAATTAAAATTTAATTTTCATATTTGTTCATTTACCTGTAGACATTGTTATATGTTATTATCTAAACCTCATTACAAAGATACTACGTCACTTTTTAGAATCCATGCTTCTCTTCCTGATATACTGTTGTATTGGCTGGGACTGGGGTTAGGGAGTGCACAGAAATGGCTGGGGCTGGAAGGGTTAATATCTAGATAGGTAAGTAGGTAGGAAAGCATGCAGGCATATAGATAGGTAGGTTGTTAGTTAGTATGAGTAGAGGTCTTACGGTGCTCACAGCTGCATGTCATATGAGTGCCCAAAGATTAGAGGTGTTACAAGAGAGGAACAAACATAAAAAAGAAGAAGGGGAGATAAGGACGATAGATGTTTGATAGCAAAGAAGAAGCAAACCACACCAGAGCACCCGCCAACCACCCACGTAGGTAGGTAGGAAGATTGGTAGGTAGGTATTTAGGTATGTAGAGCACCCTCCAACCACCCACGTAGGTAGGTAGGAAGATTGGTAGGTAGGTGTTTAGGTATGTTGGTAGATAGGTAAGTAGACAGGTCGGTGGGAAGGATGGTAGGCAGGCAGACTGACTGACAGTTCACCGTTTTCCTCCACACAGCACGCACAGTACAAAACCTTTGCTCCCCACGCACCAAAAAGCAGACGGGGAATATCAAAACTGTACTATGTTTATATCCTGGCAAAAAAACACTCCAATCATTATGAAATTTTCAATAAACAGAGAAAATTTAATGTGACTATCGCACGATCATCAAAATAAGAATCAAAACAGTAACTAAAAACATTGGACCTCGCGAGCACTTTCATCAGCCAAATTCTCATCATAGCGACACTGTAAAGCAGCATTCAAGCTAGGTCTACTCCACATTTTTTAAAAATTCCACTCTTATTGTAGTATAAAAACTTGACTTCTGTGCTAAAAGGCAAAATAAATAATTGAGGAAGAAAGTTGTAACAAGAGTGCAAGTCTACAACGAGATCATTACTTAATCGTTTTTAATGCTATCTTACACTGCCGCTCATCATTTTTTTTTTTTTTAGTAAAGGGTTTTACGGCGCTCGCAACTGCATAAGGTCATATGAGCACCAAGGGGTGGGTGTCAACAGAGAAGTTCTTATAGGGAATCAGACTTAGACTGCTCACCTCTCTAGCTTCAACAGCACAAGGTCTGCTTCGACTATCAAGGCACCCCGGAAATAGCGGGTCACAAGACAGTGACAAACATACAAAAGAGGTAGAGGAAAAAATGACATTAGTAAGGATTAGGAAAGAAAAAGCAGCAGTTCCCTGGTGTAGATCAGGCACAGTTATGAGTGTGACATGAATCAGCCCATTTACAATTCTACTGTGCTTGAACAAGAAATGTCCCCCCTTTGGGAATGGCCTAAAGACACTACAGTCAAGGAGACGGCTTTTCTCCCCTCGCCGATCGCCATCCATTAGGGGGTGGGGGAGGAGGGGTATTAAATAAGTAGATAAGTAGGTAAGTAGTCAGATAGATAAGTACATAGGCAGGGAGGTAGGCAGGTGGGTAGGCAAGAGGATAGCTATATTGGTAAGGTAGGTAGGTAGGTAGGTAGATAGGCTGCAAGATAGGTTGGCAGGCAGACAGATACGCTGTATGTAGTTACAAGTAACTCTATATTGGTACGGTAGGTTGGCAGGCAGGCAGATACGTTGTATGTAGTCACAAGTAACACTCACAAAAACGTTATGTGCCCGTGTAGGAATGGTAACACTCAGGCAGACGCCAGGCGTGAATCCCTCAGCATCTCTGCAGGTCGGCACATGAAGAGGTGACCATCGTTTGAAGAAAAATTTAAAATAAAAATATCTGATGTAAGATCAAAACTCAAAAGTTTGAAGAAAAAGGCTAAAAAAAATTTGAAGAAAAATTAAGACACAAAAATGCCTATTCTTCAACCTGTAGAGTCAAATTCCTAATCCAAACTTAACAAAATTGAAAAGCATTTGTAATCCAACTGGCACTCAGAATGTTAATTAAATACATTCGAGTCCGCATAAACTGAACACGGTTAGTCAGAAAACACCTGTGAAAGCAAAGATAAGAAAATCCCAGAATTTTTTAATTTTTTTTACAGTTTGAGCAACTTCTCTAAATCGAAAACGCAACAAAACCGAAGAAAATCTGGAGGGCAAACAGATTTCCCGTCAAGCAGACTCAACTCAGTATTAGAATTTCCAACTGACAGAAAAAGCGTATACATTCAAAAGAAACTTGGTAACAAAATTAAAATCATTAAAAAGAACACAAGACAAGGTAGGAACAATTCACTACTGGGCAAAACCCAAGGTCGTAACAGGTTTTTAACAACAATTTAAACAAATAAAAAATACTAAATCATCACTTCATTTACATATTTTATTAGTTGTTCTTAAATGCATCAAAGTGATTTGATAACAAGCCATAGTTATAAGAGAGTGAGAGACCAGCACTATCGCGTCACTTTCAGCACTAGACAGGGCTCCCCTTAGCAAGTCATTCCCTAGAGGGGAGAAACACAGGCCAAGCGGTCAATACCTCAGACTGGAACAAAAATCGTCGCAGTTGCAAACAATCCACTTAAGCTCGTTTTGGCCCTTTCTAGACCAGAGACCAAAAAATAGTTTTTGTTGTGTCGTTCCATTCAGCATTCATGAAAAGCAGGAAAATTGTAATCCTTGACCATAGCATTAAACGGCAATTTGGTGGCGTTGAATGATGTATTTTCGATAGAGCTTTGGGAGGGTGTGAAAATCGAAAATTCTCAAACTTTGGACTCAAGTGGAAGGCTTGCGACAGCGATGAAATGGGGCCTCACATGTCAGCGGGAATGTACAAGTGTACATGACCAAAAGCATAAATGGTAGTAAAGTAAATAAAACTAACTTCAAGTAAACACTTTTAAAAATCCCTTCGCTGACTTTACAGTAAATCAGCTTTTATTCGTATTTTAACAGTCAATGAAATATTTCATACTTACGGTAAATCTATCTGCACTTTGTCATTTGCTGCCTCTTGTAATTCTTTTTGTAACTTTTCCTGTCGATGTCTGATTGCAATAAGAAGAAAAAAAAGATTCTATGGTTACACATTTTGTTTTTTCAACGTATCATCCGTGGTTCTAAAAAAACGTTTGACACATAATGGCTATCAAAATACTTCTTTTTTTAAAAATCCATACGTCATGTTTTACTATCGTATCCATACGACTTGGGGAACTCTGTGCCACCACTTTCCAAAGAAATTTACTCGTTAATTCGATCCGTACTCTGTGCATAACAGTGTGCCAAAATGATTTTTTTAGAAATACTGAAAGTTCCAAAGAGATCTCTACACTAGAAGTATTCTAAAATGTGAAGAATACAACCCCGGGGGTACAAAATAATCCCTGGGCGTACGGATAGGGTTAACAAAGGATGGTTCTAAAAACACTTTTCACAAATACAGTTGAAATGATCTCAGATGGCCATCCATAGTTGAAGAGAAGAGTGACCATTTCTCAGTGTTATTATAAAGTTCAAAAACATTTTCTTTTTAAGGCAAGGCGGGTAAAGGGACATGGCCGTTTGTAGAGCACAGCTGATTGGTTTACACACAGGGATGGAAACAGGTTGGGAAAAAAAGCCGGAAAATATACGGCGCGCGCACTGACTGAAATAAGAATACAGTGAGACTAAATTATATTTGTTTCTTTCCCTCTGTAACAACAAATAATCTCTATTTAGAATATTATAATACGCATTGTTTCTAGTAGACTTTTGTTAAAAGCTGGGGCCCAAATGGCAAGTTGGCCCGGAAAAATGGAAAAAGCTGAAAGATTTACATGCCGCGTTTACAAGTGGCTGTTTGAGAAGGTTCAATTGTAGCCCCCGAGTGGCTCTCTCAACCTTTTCGCAAAAAAGTCCCTTTGGGGCTCTAAAAAACCTTTCCACAAAATTCCCCTAGTGGCTCTGAAAACCTTTTCGCAAATAAGTCGCAAAATTCCTCAGTGGCTCTCTAAAAACCTTTTCGCAAAATTCCTCAGTGGCTCTCTAAAAACCTTTTCGCAATATTCCTCAGTGGCTCTCTGAAAACCTTTTCGCAATATTCCTCAGTGGCTCTCTGAAAACCTTTTCGCAAAGAAGTCCCCTATCTACCATGGACACAGTCGACACGTACTTGAAAAACTGTTTATTCTGTTCATTGATGTCGTCCGCCTCCTGAGCCTTGTACTTGAGCCAGCGGTCCAGGATTTCTCGGTAATCGTCGTTCAGTTTTCTGTGCTTCTCCTCTAATGCTGTGAATACCATCTGGAACATACAGGGGGAAAAGTAATGAAAATAATAATAATAAATTAATAATAACAATAATAATAATATTAATAATAATAAAATAATATTAATGATGATGATAATAAAATGAAAATTATAATAATGATAATAATAATAACAATTATAATAATAAAAATAAATAGAAAGATCCCTTTTATGGCGCCCACTCCCTGCTGACTCCAGGCACTTCACAATAAAAGAAAAAGAAAAAACCATTTAAATGAACGTTTCATGCACACTGGCCTATTCAACGTACAACAATTCGTTCATATACATAACATACACTCGTACTCTGACAAAGAACTCCTACACAAAAAGACAATTACAGTCGCTCGCTACCAATCACACTTGGCCAATATGGTAAGGGCATATTTTAAAAAAGTAAGTAAGTAAGTAAGTAAGTAAGTAAGTAAGTAAGTAAGTAAGTAAGTAAGTAAGTAAGTAAGTAAGTAAGTAAGTAAGACACGAAGTAAGTAAGTAAGTAAGTAAGTAAGTAAGTAAGTAAGTAAGTAAGTAAGTAAGTAAGTAAGTAAGTAAGTAAGTAAGTAAGTAAGTAAGTAAGTAAGAAGTAGGTCAGTCAGTCAGTCAGTCAGTCAGTCAGTCAGTCAGTCAGTCAGTCAGTCAGTCAGTCAGTCAGTCAGTAAGTAAGTAAGTACGTACGTAAGTAAGTAAGTAAGTAAGCAAGTAAGTAAGTAAGTTTGGACAAAGAGCCACGCCCACCTGTAGCGCCTGGTGTTCGTCGGTAAGCATCTGATTGGTCGCCTCCAGCTCCGTCATGGACTGCTGTAAGTTTTTCTGCTCCTGCTTCAGGGACAGGTTGTTGGCCAGCATGTCGGATAACCTAAATACACACAAAAACAAACAAACAAAACAAAATTCCATGTATACTGTTTTTCTCTTCCTGTTTCAGGGCTAGGTTGCTTAGTTTTAGTAAGAGTTTTACGGCACTTGTAACATAATAAGGTCGTATAAGTGCCGAAGATTTGTTTTAGTAGAGGTTTTACGGTGCTCGCAACTGCATAAGGTCATATGAGCGCCAGAAGATTAGAGGTGTTACAAGAGAGTAACAAATATAAAAAAGAAGAAGGGGAGATAAGGACGATAGATGTTTGATAGGAAAGAAGGAGCAAACCACACCAGAGCACCCGCCAACCACTCACAGGCTAGGTTGTCGGCCAACATTACGGACAGCCTGAACACACCAAAAAAAAAAAATAAAAAATTCCAATATGTACACGTTGTTGTTGTTGTTGTTGTTGTTATCGATCCAGCCAATATGTACACAAAAGCTGGCAGTGTCTAACCATGACAGGCTGATTGGCAGCAAGAGACAATGAACTGCAACTGTAAACACTTCCCCACAAAAAGTACCAAACGCAGAAAGTTAAATAAGTTAAAACTTACGCAAGCAGCCCAAAAAAGTAAAAGATCAAGTGGTTATCCAAAGTTCATCATTATATCATAAACAATTCTGTTTGATTTGTTTTTCTAAGCATTTTATGGCACTTGCAACACAATAAAGTAATATGAGAGCCAAAGATTACAGGTGTTACAAGAGAGTTCAGTTTTAGTGAGAGTTTTACGGCACTCGCAACTGCATAAGGTCATATGAGCGCCAGAAGATTAGAGGTGTTACAAGAGAGTAACAAACACAAAAAAGAAGGTGGGGAGAAAAGGACGATAGATGTTTGACAGGAAAGAAGGAGCAAACCACACCAGAGCACCCACCAACCATCCACTGTAAGAGAGAACGAAATGCAATTATGAAAACTTCCCCCTACAAAAAGTAGCGAACACAAGAAGCTAAATAAGATAAAGATAAAGTGCTTTTCCAAAGATAATCAATACAATATGTGGGGTATCGTGGTGAAATGAGGCGCACGTCAAAAAACTCAAATCAAAGAAACAGGCACGTTTTCGCAAGTTTGGAAAATTTTATGAAGTTTTTGTTTTGGCCTCAACACCTTTTATATCCATATAAAAACACACCTCCTTGGAGTACAAATATCTCGACCTCTATTCAAGATAGATGGCTATTTTTTTTATAGAAAGCAAAAACAAATAAGCTTTTAGAATATACCAATACTGAACTCTATATGTCCAAAAATTGATAAGCGCCTGATTCCACGGATTCGTGACACATATCATCACCAATGTAAGCCCATTTCCAAACATCATGAGATGAGGCAAAGCAAAGCCACTGAAGACTTACTGATTGTCTTTATTCTGAAGCTCTCTCTCCTTCTCTTGCAGCAAGGCATTGAGATCAATTATCTGCTGGGCGTTCTGCCACAGAAAAGAAAAAAAATTACAATAAAATGATGATGGTGAAATTACAACATCATGACAATAATAATAAAAATATCAGTGATGATGTTGAACATACAATACAATAATAATAAAAACATACAATATCAAAATAAATGTTTTTTAAAATAAGTGATGATGGAAGCAGTGATTGAAGCATTTCTTACTGCAGCAATAGATAGCTGTAGGGGTTTGTTTCGTTTTTTAAGAGTTCTACAGCATTCACTACTGCATATGTGAGGCAGCGTGGTGGAATCAGGCTCTCGTCAATTTTTGGGCATATTGTGGTATTGGTATCATCTTAAAGCTTGTTCATTTGTCTTGCTTTCAATGAAAACATTACCCATCCATCTTCAATAGAAGTGGAGATATTTTGGATTGAAGGAGGTGGGGGTCACCTGATTTAAGAGGTAAAATTAGCGAGAAAATGGCCGCCAAAGCTTGGTAAATTCCAAAGCTAGTCCATGAAAACTGTAAATTTATACCTTTGTGCCTTTAATCAACGTTTTCGGTGAAATCCTCCAGGAAATGTGTTTGTAAATGGACATAAAAGGTGTTGAGCCAAAAAACAAAAATTTGATAAAAATTGCTCAGCAGGGAGAAAACTGCTGGGTTTTTTCTACTACAATTATTTTGACGAGAGCCTGATTCCACCATGTTGCCTCACATATATACTCATACAAGCACGGAACTGTTGTAAGAGTTGTTGTAATAACACAAACAGTTGTAGTGCAAGCAGCAACGGCTGATGGTTGTAGCAGCAAAAGCAGCAGCACTGAAGGATGCATTAGTGGTATGGGTGTGCTTAACTTTGAATACTTTTCTTTAAAGTTTTAGTAAGAGTTTGACGGCACTTGTAAACACAATAAGATCAAATAAGAGCCAAAAAATTAGAGGTGTTACATGAGAATAACAAACACGAAAAAGAAGATGGGGAGATAAGGACGACAGATGTTTAATAGGAAAGAAGGAGCAAACCGCACCAGAGCACCTGCCAATTACTCACAAGGGTGTGCACGTCCTGTAATTTGGACTCAAGTTCAAATCTGAATTATAACTAACTATGAAATATTCAAGAAAAACAACAGCACTCGAATCCTGACGACAGGATTGTGCTGCTCATAACGTAATTACAATTTTTTCACAAAAGTGGGGAAAAAATATTAATGGTAAAAACAACATACAAAAATACATAAATTTCTCTGATGATCTGAACAGAGCACGAAGAAAAGGGAGAAAAAGAGACAAAATAATAATGTGCAGCAGCAAAACTAACCCCCCCCCCCCAAAAAAAAGATGAAAATTACAAAATCTTTGTTTCTACAACAAGCTCCCGTCGGGTGAAACAAAGTGCTCATTTTCAATTACCAAAGTGTTCTAAAGTTTCAGACTCTTAACAAGTACTCAAGTATTAAAAAACTACTCGAGCGAGTACTCCCAGGAGCTAAATACTCAAGTACTGCTCAAGTGAGCTCAAGCACTCGTACAAGTAGTAAGGACGTTTGAGTTTCCTAAACAGAAGCACACAGCACAGACAATATCACATTTTAGAGCTAGAAAAAGGGGGAAATGGTAAAGGTTTAATGCCCCTATCAACACTGTTAGGTTATTTAAGAGGCGAGGACCTCAGAGTTAAACGTCCATCTCTGAAAGGACGGAGCCAAATGGTAAATTTGTGGAAATCCCCAACCCCCCAAACCCGCAACCTGACGATTACGAGTCCGGTAGTCTAACCACTAGACTACCGAAGCCACTTAGAGCTAGAGAAGAAAAGCAAGATGTGTAGTCAGAAACAAAAAAGGAAGAGAAAAGAGCTAACGTCTACTAGCAGACTCTCCAACCCACTGAGCTCTGAGCAACACAGACGACAGCGGTTAAGATAATGAGGATGACGTTAACATCATTTCTCTCATTAAATAAAAAACACACCTAAAAAAAACCAACGTTTCAACCACGCCTCCCAGTGGCAACTTCTGCTATGTGCGACACAACGTCCAAGCACAAGGAAGGAAAACCCTCTATAAAATATTTGTTCGCTTTAGTAAGTGCTTTACGCACGGCATTTGCAAAACAATCAGGTCATAATATAAGTGCTGCAGATTAGAGGCATTACCAGAGAGTTTAAAAAACACAAAAAAGGAGGAGAGATCAAGACGAGACGATCGATGTTTCATAGAAATGAGGGAGGAAACCACACCAGAGCACCCGCCAACCACCCAATAAAATATCTTCCCTGTGTGGGGGAAACAAAATCGCACCCTTCTGAGAAAGGCAGACTCTAAACATTTCACCACAGACACAAGTCATTGAGCCCTGAATAAAAACTATTTAGTTAGTCTTAGTTTTACAGCCACTTTCATCACAATTAGGTCATATAAGTGCCGAAAATTAGAGGTGTTACAAGAAAGTAACAAACACAAAAAAAGAAGGGTGAGTTTAGTTTTTGAGAAAACAGAAGCACACCCACTCAACAACGATCATTTAGTGCAGGGGGAAAGTAAGACACACAGACACAAACAGAGAAGGAAAGGAAAGAAATAGGACCTACCAGAAGCACCCTCCAACTGCCCACAAAGAAAGAGAGATTACAACGATAGATATTTGATAGGAGAGAAGATGCAGACCACACCAGAGCACCCGCTAAACACCCACCATGAATAAGACGGGTCCACACGAGAAAATAATCTAAAGAGCAAAAGAGCCATCTCTAACAGTGCTCTGCATTCATGGCGCGCAAATCACCTAACCCATCCCCCATTGTTTCTCAAAACAAGAGCCGAAACTTGGTGGGGAAAAAAAGCTCTCATCAATGAGTCAAAAACATTGATGTCACTAAAAATAGCAGCAGCATCAACAATAAACAACAACAACATCAATAACCAAAAAAAAAAAAAACAGCATCAACATCAATAAAAACAACATCAACAAACAAAAACAGCAGCAACAACATCAACAAACAAAAACAGCAGCAACAACATCAACAAACAAAAACAGCATCAACAACATCAACAAAAAAGCAGAAACAACGGTAACAAAAACAGCAATCAGCATCAACAAAAACAGCAATCAGCATCAGGCCAAATAGCAACAACATCAATAAACAATAAACAACAGCAACAACATCAACAACAAACCAAAAACAGCAACAGCACCAACCAAAAAACACAGCAACAATATCAACGAAAAAGCAACAACAGCATTAACAAAAACAAACCAGTGACAGAAAAATGAGCAGACGAGCACCGACTGACCTCTCCTCGTTTCTTGTGCAGCTCCGTCAGCTCTTCCTGCAGTTTGTACAGCTTCTGCTCCAGGGCGTGAGTGTTGTGACCCCCGCTGCTGTAGACAACAAACGACCAGTTTTTCGTTTTACTTGGGGGTTTTTGTTGGGTTTTTTTGGCTTTTTTTTGGCTTTTTCTTTAGCTTTAGTTTTAGTAGAGGTTTTTACGGCGCTCGCAACTGCATAAGGTCATATGAGCGCCAGAAGATTAGAGGTGTAACAAGAGAGTAACAAACATAAAAAAGAAGAAGGGGAGATAAGGACGATAGATGTTTGATAGGAAAGAAGAAGCAAACCACAGCAGAGCACCTGCCAACCACCCACCTTTAAAAAAAAAATAATAATAGTTTGGTTTGGAGTTTTTTGGAGTTTTTTGTTCGCTTCTTGTAACATTTTGTTTTGTTTTAGTAAAGTTTTACAGAGCTCGCAACTGCACTAGGTCATATGAGCGCCAAGGGGTGGATGTCAACAGAGAAATTCAAACAGGGAATCAGGCTTACTCTGCTCATCTCTCTAGCCTCAACAGCACAAAGTTGCTTCGACTATCAAGGCACCCCGGAAATAGCTGTTCACAAGAGAGTGACAAACATACAAAAGAAGTAGAGGGAAAATGACGATAGTAAAGAAGAGGGGAAAAAAAGCAGCAGTTCCCTCTATGTTTTTCAAGCAAAGTATGAGCATGACGGGTGCGAAGCGTGGACAATCAATAAACAGCTGGAAAGAACAATTGTAGCGACAGAGTTGTGGTTCATAAGACGCATGCTACGTATCCCATGGACAGCTAGAAAAACAAATGAAGAAGTCCTGGTTGAAGCAAATTATAAAAAACAACTAATCACGAATATAAGAAAACAACACAACAGGAAAGGTTGATGGAAAGAGAAGCAGAGGCAGACAGAGGGAAAAGATACTGGACAAGATGACAACATGGTTGGGAGCAGCAAGAACAACAGACACCATTGCTGCAGCGCAGGACAAAGTGAAGTGGAGGTCCATGATCGCCCACGCCAGTCGGCAAGGCACAGGATGATGATGATGATGATGAGCATGACATTGATAAATCAGCCCGTTTACAATTCTACTGTGCATAAGAACATGTTAATATCTCCCCTTTGGGAATGGCCTAAAGACACTTCAGTCAGTACGACTGCCCTGTGGGAGGAGGGGGAGGGGTAACATTTTTATGGCCGGCACTTGCAAAACAATTAGGTCATGTAAGTGCCCAAGATTAGTGCAGTTTGTACAGCCACTGCGACAGGGCGTGAGTTATACACATGATAGAACCACACTCAGAACTGAAAAAGACGCAAACAAAATGAATCACACGAAGAGTGACCAAAGCTTTGATGAGAAAAGAGGAGAAGAAAGACACAAATGAGAAAGAGCAGCATTTTAAAAAACCCACACAACTGACTAATGTGTCAATTTGTAGTTTTAGACAAGGCTGCAAAAGAACAGTCACATTTGAAATGAAAATGACAAGGAAAACGGAAAAAATAAAAATAAAAAGCACCAGAGAACCCACCAACCATACAACCCCTGAATCAAAGAAAAAAACAAACAAACAAATGTACTCACAGAACAAAATGAAGCAGGAACAGAAACAGTCCCACACAAAAGATTGCAATACTAACAGAAAACAGCGCATCAAAGTAATCCATCTTGTTATTTCACACCATTATTTATGATATATGTGTCAACCTAATGTGACAACTACCAACTGTCACTGTAAAACCAAATACAGTTCCTTGAATTCAAAGCTACAGCATCAGACAAACAGCATAATTACGTTTTAAGGAGTCTCACTATAGTACCAGTACAGTTCCTGGAATTCAGAGATACACCACAGACAAACAGCATATTTTGTAAGGAGTCTCGCTATAGTACCAATACAGCTCCTTGATCTCAGAACTACAGCATCAGACAAACGCCACAATATGTTGTGAGAAGTAACATTAGAACACGAAAACAGTTCCTTGAATCCAAAGCTATACCACAGACAAACAGAATATATATGTTGTAAGCAGTCTCATTAGAACATCAAAAGAGTTCCTTGAATCCAAAGCTATACCACAGACAAACAGCATATGTATCTTGTAAGCAGTCTCGCTATAACAGAAAAACAGTTCCTTGAATCCAAGACTCCAGAATCAAATAAACCACAGTCCACATATTGACTCATCAGTCTAAGACACCCTCATATGTCGTCGCATCTCAAAAGGGCGAGTACATCAGAGTCATAAGATAAGCAGTCAGTACATTGTAGTAAGGAGTTTGACAATAACACCACTGACCAGCCAGACAACACGACACAACTGTTCAGCGACAGCTCCGCTCGACAAGGACAGAAACCAGTGTAGCGTCGATCAAACGGATGGACGGACCACACATACATAACAACCGTGTCACAGTTTGAGAACAGAGACGAGGCAACCCTGTCAAGACCCCTGTTTAAATAGATGCCTCCATCTGCCTCACCTACCCCCCCACCCCCACTCCTTTGACACACACAATTGATGGGGAAATGACAAGACAAAATGGGAGAAGGAACAGATAGGCTTTCTTGATATAAACCTACACATGAACGCACACATAGAGGTTTATATGTAGAAGAACACACAAGAATACATGGGTACATTTTTAGGAACACATACACACACACACACACACACACACACACA